ATAGCTCCATTTGTTTGCTTTTTCTTTCATTGCGTGTGATTTTAGTATCATAGCAAATAAACCATTGCCTAGGCCAATGTCATAAAGCTATTTATCTTGTGTTTTCTTTAACAATTTACATTTCCAGGTTGTACATTTAAATCTTTAATTCTCAGAATGCTAGGGAAGTTTCATGTCTGCCTCTGGTTCTCTTTTTCCTCTGCAGAAACTGTGTTTCTGGGGAATTCTACCTGTGAGGTGCTGTGCTGACTCAGAGGAGGAGAAGGAGGGACATTGTCATCATGGGATTGCTTTTCTTACCCTTTAATGTGGTGTTTATTCCATTCTGGAACACACAGCTGACTCTGGCTCATTCCCACATGTTGGGGTTTTCACCAAGGTATTCTTGTCTGTGGATGGCTGCTAGCTGAACTTTCTGTGTGTGGCAGGGGGCAGGGAATGGTAGTGAAGCCTGGGCCACTTCACGTTGACTGCCATCTTGCTGATGTCACTCCAAATCACAATTATCAATTTTGCTGAATGCAAGTTACAACTATAAAAACATTTCCAGAATTTTGAAAGCATGTAACATTATCAAAGCATATGTCTCTAACAGATTTAAGGACCATCTACAGTATTCCATAAGGAACAGATCAAAATGTCATTTCAGCAAAGTGGCATTTCCATGTGTGGTCGTCTATGTATTTTCTTACTTTCTTCAACACTGCTGCAAAGTTTACCTACTAAATGAGGTTAGCTACAATGGGTTCTTTCTCAATGGAGTGGCAAATGTAGTAGCTGTTTCTTACGTTGCATTCTCTTACAACTCTTTGGGCCCTAGGGCCACACTTATTTGTGACATGTTTGGATTTATAGAATTGTACTCTTTGTAATTTAACTGTCTCAGGGCACAAGTACAGAGAAAGCAGTCAGGAAATATACATAATCTAAAAGATGAATTTGCAGTCTACTCTGAGGGTCTGTAAGTTGGCCCTCTGCCAATCCAAGGCAGGTACAGAATTTTGTGATGAGGCCTGAAGAACCACATACTGAAGAAATTTTGTACATTGTTACCTATAAGATCCCAAATGACCCTAAATATTGCCTGTAATTAACACAAAATGACAACCTTATGCTAATTTTTTAAAGAAAGCACATGTTTTAGAATACGTTTAGTGAATGTTTCTGCCCTCTCGGTATAAACAGAGTACTGAGTTTAAGCATTGAACCAACCCAGTATTAAGTATCTAAGTAGTACCTGCTGTAAGTAACTGGTGAAATAATACTGACTGTGCTAAGATACGACATTTCAAATGTATTTCAAGATGTGTCTCTGCTTGAATGAAGGGTGATTGCTCTTTTCATACTGTGGCATTTATTACTAACCTGTCAGAACAGCTGCTTAAGCAAGAATGAATGAAGCACATGTCTAACACTCTGGCCTTAATAAAAAAAAAATTGAAAATGAGCATTTCTCTTTTTGTATCCATCCTTCTAATTAGAAGTCTAAAAATGTGTTTTCCCGTCTTCAAAAATATTTATTACATACCCACCTCTGTGCTGGTAGCTGGGAAACAGAGAAGAGCAAAACAGACACATCACTACCTAATGGCACTATAGTCTGGCAGAGAAGACAGACATTTAAAAATCATCTTACAAACCACATGCACATTCTAGTCATACTGTGATAAATGCAGTGAAGGCAAAGAAAGTGCAGAAACAAAAATAAGGGGCATAATTTAGAGACTGATGGGGGAAACTACTATGAAAGAGATCTTCAAGAAAGTGATATCTCACTGTGTGCGAAGGATAAGGAGTAGTTATTCAAGGAAAACTCGGGTGAGTTTCTTAGGCAGAGGGATCAGCAGATACATTGTCCCTGGATCAGGCAAGAGATTGGCTTGTTCAAGAAGTTGAAAAAAAGCCAGTGAAAGCAATGACAGCCACGTGAAGCTGAAAGTAAAGAGTGGAAAGATTAAAAAGACATTGCAGGCATGCTAATGATCTTTCACTTTATACTAATTACAAGGGGAAGTGTGTCTGTTCTGCCAGGTCAATCAGCTTGCTTCCAGGCCTCCTTAGCAAAACACTTGTGTTTCAGTTTTCTCTGGTCCTCTGTACTACTTTTTTTCTCTAGTTCATTCATTTACCAGTGAGCAACCGTAACATAACTATCACAAACTGGGTGGCTTAAAACAACAGGAATTTATTCTGTCTCAGTTCTGAAAGTCAGAAGTCTGGAAGCAAGATGACAGCATGGTCGATTTCTACTTGGGGACTCAGAGAGAGGTGCCATCTCACGCCTTCCTCCCAGCTTCTGGTGGTTGCCACCAATGCCTGCATCCCTTGGCTTGTGGCATTGCCAACCCCACCTCTGCCTTCATGGTCGCATGGCTTCTCCTGGTGTGTCCCTGTCTCTGTGTAGAGAGATATAAAAATCTCTATATATATATGTATACCCATCGCTTGGTTTAAAAATGACAAAAGGTGAATACAAAAACGTTATTTTTAGTTTGGACTCAGAGTGACAAAAACAGATGTTTTTCACGACAATATCCATACAGTTGACACACTCAGGAGTTGGGTTTTAAATCATACTACCTAGGAATTCCAAAAAAGTTCAAACAAAGAAACTATATTACATAGCTTTGAGTCGGTTATATTTTGGAATGCCCAAAACACAAAAACACAAATTCTCTGCAGAAGGGTTTACCTTCAACAAAAACCTTGACAGATTCTTGCACATAAAGCCCAGACATTTAAATGTGAGCTTAATCCAAAATGTATTTTTTAAAAAGCAAAATACAAGACTTAGTAGAAACAACCAACAGCAGAAATAAACCACCAAAAACTTTCAAGTATAAAAATCTTGGATGCAAACTGTAAAATAAGCATTTTTAAATTATTCAAAAAAAATTGAAATTATGACCTAGAAACAGAATGCTATACCAAAAAAAAAAAAAAAAATCAGGCTAATTTGAAAAAAGAACCAAAAAGAACCTCTCAAATGGAAAATGTAATCACTCAAAAATTCAGTAGGTCAGATAAACCAAAGATTAATACAGCTAAGAAAATAATGATTTATAGATAAATTACTAACATGAAGCTCAGAGACATAATGGAGATAATGAAATGCAAAATATGAAAGAAGGCTAAGGTGCATAAAGAGCAGCCCTCCCTCGAAGACTCACCAGTCCTAAAGAGTGGCCCACACGGTGAGGACTGACAGGGTGCAATGGTTCCCACCTATAATTCCAGCACTTTGGGAGGCCAAGGTGGGTGGTCTCCTTGAGCCCAGGAGTTCAAGACCAGCCTGGGCAACATAGCAAAACCCCATCTCTGTAAAATTAAAAATTAAAAAAAAACAGAAAGTGAAAATAGAGAAACAAGAGAAGCCAAGCATTTCTCTACAGAGAAATAAAGGAGAATAAACCCATATCTAGGCACAAACTTCAACTTTAAGCCATCAAAATTCAAAAAAAAAAGATCTTAAAAACAGACAGAGTAAAAAGTTTACCTTCAATGAAATAACAGTTATATGAAAAACAATTTTTTTCAACAATAACAATGGATACAGAACAAAGCACTACCCTAAAATTCTGACAGAAGATAGTGTCCATCTCAAGTTATTTGCTCAGCAAACTATTATGTCATAATTAGAGCAAAATAAATGCATTTTAGGCAAACAGAATCTATGTTCAGTCAGGCTCTTGCTGAAGGAGTTGCTATAGGAAATACTTCAGATAGGAGTAAAATGATTTCATAAAAAGGTCTGGGATGAAAAAAAGGAAAAGTCAACAAAGACACTGGTATCAACAAAATAATAAAACACTAAATATGTGAGAAAAAACCCAAACAGAATCTAAATAATGTACAAAAACACAGTGTAAGACAGGAGGCAATTGATGAGAATTAGGATACCGCATTGCTAGGGAGGAGAATAGATTTATTTTGGATTTTGTTAAGATTAAGAGCAACCATAGAGTGATTAGAAAAAGGGTTTATGGCTTCCAAACCAGTAGGGAGAGAAAAAACAATTTTAAAATCAAAATTCAGTCAAAAAAGAGAAAGAAAGAAGGGAGGAAAGAAAGAGAAAGAAGGAAAGAGGGAAAGAGAAAGAGAAAAGGAAAGGACAACATAGTAAAAGGAGGAAAAAAGTAAAGCCCGAAACTAGACGGTGACAATAAATCCGACTACAAAAGAATTCATACAAAGTATGTGGATCAAAGTCATCGATTTTAAAACAGAATTTTAGACCTACTATTTCATTCAGTAGTAAATTATTTATGTGACATATTTGAAACATACAAGCTCTCTCTCTCCTCCAAAGAAACTAGATTAGATGATAAGAGGCATGAAAGAGAATGAACCTTTGTTTATAACCCTACTATAATGTACACTCTCATTATTTAAATTATGTCTCAGAGTTAGATTTTATTATTTCCATATTACAGATGGGGAATTGGGGTGCAGTGCTTAAAGGCTATACACAGAGTCACACTTTGTAGTAATTTGCAGAGGAAAGATCTGCAAAGACTTGGCTCTTGCTAACATCAACACACTGCCATGTGACACAAAGCAGCTTTCAGACCTGGAAGGTGGTTCTGAGAAAGTCTTATGAAAATCAAGCAACAGGTAAAAAGAAAAGAGCACTAATCTCTGTTGTTTTGTTGTTTGTCCCATTAAGTGGTTCTAGATGAATGTTTTTTTTTTTTTTTTTTTTTTTTTTTTTGGGGCAGTGAACATACAGACCACTGAATTCAGAAATCTGTATATTGTAAACTACTTCATTCGTTCTCTACTAAATTCACCTGGTCTGTACAATTTGAAAGGTGGCACATTTTATTCTTTTTGTCTTTCAATTGTTTTTATTCAAAATGTTTTACATAAGGAGTTGAATGTTTTAGTAAGAATGGGCTAGCCATGCAGGCATCTACCTGCTGACGGTGGGAGAGTGAATATATAAATATTGTCCAGGGAATTGAGAAGAAAGCAGCTGACATGTTTCTGCAAAGAAGAACCCATCTCCTTCTCTTCACCTCTCTCTCTCCCTAAGAAATGCAGATTAGGTCTAAAGTCCTCGCAGGTTAGCTGTGCTTCTTCTCAAAGTCAAGCCAGAACTTACAGTATTTTTTTAAAAAATAAGGCTAAAAAAATTATAAAGTCAAGCCTACGATGGAGAGGTAGAAACCAAAGGCAAGAGGAAAGAATTGGAAGAGAGCTAGAGGTAGTACATGTCTAAGTCCACAACTTGAAAAGCTTATTTAAAATGCAAGCTGTCAGCTATTTTTTTTTCAATAGCTGACACCTTGCATTTTAAATAAGGCCTGAGTTTTTAGGTACAAATAGTTAAGGTAATACATTTTAATCTGTTTAGGCTTATGCATAGTTTGATCTTGTATATATAGAATTTTAGTCTTTGCCTGTCTCTAGCTAGCTAACTAGCTGCTCCTCTCCCGCTCTGTAGGCGCATGTGCACGCACGTGCCTGAGTAAACACTCAGAGAGAAAAATAAGATGTTTGACATGTTATTCCCCTAATTTCATAAGAATTTCTAAGTAGTAGTTTTAAATAGTATTTGTTTTTACTTTCACTTTTCTGTGTTGCTTGAATTTGTTTAAAGGAGAATGCACCTTACTAAATTTTTTAAAAAATTATTCATGCTTATTGTAGAACATTTAGAAAATATTACAAAGTATAAAAGAGCAAAATAGGTATCACTGCCAATTCCATCACTGTTAACATTTTAGTGTGTTTTCAATCAACTTGAATGTTCAGTTTGGACTCCTACTTTTTTTACATAATGTATTTTTTCTGTGTCATTAATTATTCTGAGGCATAAAGAATGGGATCACATTCCAGGAGTCCAGAGAGGAAGGAATGATGGTGATCTGGGCTCTGGCTGTGGGAAGAGAAATGAAAGTAAACGACGAACCTGAGAAATCTTTAGAGATCAGATTGACAGAATGAAGTGATGTACCTGATGTGTATTTTGAAATAACTTTCAACGTATGTGTTTTATTTTCACAAATGTAAAGGTCTCATAAATTATGAGTAAATCATGCACAAAACTGTCATAAATCATGGACAAAGAATGCAAGTTTAACAATGTCTTCATTGGAGATACATGCAAATTTCTTACAAAGTCAGAGTTTTAAATTGTGAATTCATGTGCCAGCATATTTATTTAAAGAGCATAAAGAATAATGTTATAGATATTGTATTTTCTGATTATACTCAGAATTATGAATGTGTATAGTCTATTCTAAAGATCAGATAGAAATGACAGGATCTGAAATGATACAAGAGAAACACTTGGCTCTTAACCAGAAACTTTACGGCATATTTCTGTCTTCACTACATAACAGTGAAGTCTATTAAAAATCTAAAACTGAAGCAAATTCACCTTTTTATACTCCTTCAATAATTTTGTTTTGAAGGTCTTTGCTACATACTTGAAATATGTTATATTTTCAAAGCTCTCTGGCTGATTTGGTGAAGCGCATGTGTTTTGTGCCTCACAAAAACACATTTGGATACTATTAAACAGAAAAGATAAAATATTGCATAGGTCTGAAGAATTAATTTTAAAACGTTTCTTTAAGATAAACAGCCTATCAACTACATCTTAAATGTCATTGCTTAGGATGACCAGCTAAGCAGATTTACAGACAACTGCATGGCTAAAAAGGAATTATTTTGACCTCCTTATCATAAACTATTATGTCCAAAGACAGCAGCAGCATCTCCATCTAACCTGCAGTGAGAAATCTGCCCTGTTACCAGTGGAATCTCCACAGGCAACAAGAAAGAGAATATACTTAACATTATGCATAATTCCTCAAAGAATTTTCTCATTTTGAGATTGGCTCAAAAATGATCTGCTAAATAAAATTCTAGCAATCGCAGGTAAGAAAGAAGGAACTGTCAGCATTCCATCCTTCAGGCTGTACTTCAGAGCTGCTGTACAAGTCACAAGCTGTTCTTATCAGAAGTCTGCTTTCTTAGCTTTTCTTTACACATTCCAACCTATCGTCACATGCTTTGAGATTTTTGTGAGGAAATGAGCACTCTAAAATATAATCATTGGTTGCTATTTTATGACTCACCAGGTCTATGGCATTCAAAATTAAATCATGTAGGCATGCTGCGTGTCTGAAAAAGTCTTCCATACCTGGCCAAGACTGAACCCAGCCAGCCATGTGGCCCTGGGAATGGCCCCTCTGCCGACTAGCATTTGTCTGCAGGATTGATGCAGCCACCCGAAGACCTTTTGAATTCTCAAGGCTCCTTGAAGAATTGCAGGAGAACTCTGCTTCATTGATTACTGAAACTAGAAGATGCAGCAAGCTCTTCCCAGGACAAAGAGCTGGAATAGAAAGGCAACCATGACACTCACTGGCAACACTGTCTCCCCACATGAAGGTCACTGGAGGTCAAGCTCTAGTAAACCCCATCCACTAAGCCTATTTCATGGAGGATTCATTCATTCATTCCATAAATATTTACAGACAGTCTGCTGTGTGCCAAGCAGTATTCCCCATATCAGGACAGAACAGCCAACAAAAGAGGCAAAAACACCTTCGCTCATGGAGCCTACATTTCATGTTCTGAAAGGCTTCTTGGGCCAAAAGAACCCAGAAAGAAGGGCTGCATCCCTTCTCCTGCAGCACCAAATAAGAACTGCTGCAGTCTACAACAGACATGGCCAGGAAAATCAGAGCTCTTGGTTACAAATAAGAACTAACAACAAAAACTTGTAGCAACGGAGATATTCTGTTCCTTCTACAAAGCTGAACTTCTTTAGTCTTCGTCAACATAAAACTGTATTTTTCTTAGAAAAGCAAAGGGGAAATCAGAGAATGAATAATCTGAACCCTTGGAGTGAAGTGTAAGCCATCTGATAAGTTAAGTTTATGCTTCACTGTTCCATTTCTTAAAATTAGATACCTTGTGCTCATTACCTTAGAGAACAGAAAGACAGAAGGAGAAAACTGTGTCACAGATGCTGGGAAAGCACTTGTATTACTAACAGAAAGCCACAGTAACGTGAGGAGTCACTCTCAGAAAGACTTCAAATCCTCTCTAACTCTCCAGCACATGGGAGGCCTAGGGATCTTTAGAACAAATGGGGAGAAGGATGGATATCTTAGCACCACAACTCTCCCAGAAACACAAGATAGAAGTCTGATGCAGGAGCCCTATCTTTCATCTGTTTCTACTCATTTGTAAGAAAACAATGCTTGCTTTCTTATTTAAAGAACAAACCCTGTATCCACCAATTATTCCTGACATCTGACGAGGGATGGGGGCTACAGACGCAAATTTGAAAGAAGAAATATTTTATTTTACAAACTTGATTTGAATATAAGCCCTAAATTTATGTTGACTATATCCAAGAATAAGATTATGCAACCAAGACATAGCAAAGGGAGGGGGGAGTTTTGAGGTTTTTTCCTAATTACAAAGCCTACTAGGAGACTAATAATGGGGAAACCTTTCTCATGGAGCTGGATTCTGCAAAACCTAGTGATAAGGAAAAAAGAATATAAGAATTGCAGTTTATTTCAATTCTCTTTTTTTTTGTTATTTTCTCTTTCTTAACCTGTAATATATATTATTTTGCTTGCTCTAAAAGCGAGCGCACTAAAAGTGAGCCTTCCCTTTTTTGACAACTGTAGCCCAGATATTTCTGTTAGAAAATTTTTTATATGTATGCAGTTCAATATCTATATAATATTCATTTTTTATAGTCTGTAGATATGAATGGGTGATTAAATTAATTTTATAGATGGCTCACTTGAAACAGCAAAGAGACCACTCCTTAATATATAAGCACAAAAATTAAAATCACTTTGCAATCTTGATCAACTATATCAAATCACAAACAAAGCTGATTAAGAAGCAACACGAACATTCTGTAACTTGATCACAACCCATAATGAGTGTTGCCCAGAGGAAATCCTTTTAGCAATTCACAAGGCACTGTGTGTCTAAGACTGAATTCCTACTTACCCAGAGTGTACAGATTCATTCTTAGGCACAATACATAAAATGCTGGGAAATGCCCAGATTTTTGACTGTGCTGCAGAACTGCAATTGAGCTGTGAGGAAGACAGCCTCAGAGGAGAAATCAGAGAGCACAGCTTTCCCATGGCAAAGGGCTCAAGAAGACCTGAACTCTGCTGTGAAGAACGAAATTGTCCCAGAAAGTCCAGGGCAAGAGCTCTCCCAAATTTTTTACCAGCTCATCCTAAGAATTCACTGGATGCTTTCTGCTGGGTGTCATTAACAGCTGCAAGACACTCCATCTGAGGGCCACAGTCAGGATGCAGTGTTCACAAATTTTTTAATCAAATGAATCAAGAGTAGAGGGTCTGTCCATGAATAATAAAATATAGGGAGGAAATAAGTCACACGGAATGGAATTCTCTCATTGGGTTGAGAATATATACACCCAATACTTCTTTTTTTATTCCTTTGTAGGGAAGAAAGATTTTTTTTTTCCTCACCCATCACCAGGATTATGGCTAATGCCCCTGTAACAAAGTACAGATTAACAAGAGAAAAGCATACGCATTTATTTAAAACGTTTTCTGTGGCACAGGAGTCTTCATAAGAAAATGGCCCAAAGAAACAGGAAACGTGTGTATCGTAGGCTTAGTTAGTTTTGATGAACAGTGGCCGCCATGGCGTAGTAGAATTGGACAGAGTGGGTATGCTCTCATGGAGATAAACTGGGGGAACTCAGCAAGGCCTGTGTCTTCAGAGATAAGGATGCTTCTTTCTTAAGCCTCTGATGAGGGCTTATGACCTCCTCCCAAGAGTGGGGAGTGGGCAGAGAGTGACCTCCCTGCTCCTGCTTTTCCTCAAATGCCACATGGGTTATCTCAGCTGATGCCCTTCCCGGGAGACAAAGCCATCTTTGAGTATTTCAGGATTCTAAAATCAACTCCATTCTTTGGATTTACCAAAAGCAGCAGCCTGAAGTTGATGATATCAATGTACAAAATGGAATAATTCCTTCACATGACACCTCTGGTTTCAATAGTAACAGTTTTGCCCTTCTCCCACATTCACTACCTTCTTGGTGTCCAGAGACCTGAAAGGTACTTTCTGGCCCAGGTGTAATGTTCCCCTTTCTGGGTGGCTTTGAGGCTAGTGGCCTGAGTTGAGACAGTCCCACATCTGAGTTTAGTCCAGCCTCAAGGCCTGAGCCAGCACCCTCTTTAACTTTCATTTTAGCAATTATAGATAACAATAACCAAGGGACGGAATATTTTGCTTTTTTCTTGTTAGTCTGCATTTCCTTATGCCTCCAGTGAAGCAATTCCTGGGGAGTTGGATCTATCTCTAGACTCTGCTAAGAACTTTTACCTTTAGTAACTGATCTCAACATAGCTGCAGCTTCATACTACGGGCGACCACGAGGCCACCTGGGAATCGAAGATTCTTTATCCCCCCACCCTTTAATCCTTTCTCTTCAAACCATTGGCTTCCGTGAGTCAGGGCTGTTCAAGCAAATCCCACTTCACTGACGACAATAATTTAGGGAAAACTTTCTCGAACCTTGTTTGTTTATTTCTTTTACCTCTGCTCTCACACCACAAAAATCGTGGGGACAGAAGAAGACTTCTATGACCAAATGTATGGGGGTATTTTCCCCATGCATCAAGCAGCAGACACAAGTTAGGTGTCCTCTAATTCAGCTCTGACACTGCTCACCCGGAGATAGCGTCAGGTCCCATAGGTTAGGGGCTCAGTCCCAAGATTTTCCTCACCTTTCCAGATGCTAGTTGCAAGTCAGGGCCTCCAGAACTTCTGACCAGCTTCAAGTTGGAGTTCCCACGATGCCCTCGTTGAATCTGATTAATTTCCTGGTGCAGCTCACAGAACTCAGAGAAGCACGTCTATCAGCTATTATAAAAGATGCTACAAAAGATACAGATGAAGAGACACATAAGCCAAGGGATGGAGGAAGTGGTGTGGTGCTTCCTTGCCTCCCTAGACACCACCTCCTCTAGGAACCGCCATGTGTTCAGCTATCTGGAAGCTTTGGTGCCATTTTCCAAATGCCACGGGCTCACTTTGTGTCTGTGTTACATTTTGGCAATTCTAGGATTATTTCAAAATCTATTACTATATTTGTTATAGTGCTCTGTGATCAGTGACCCTTGACATTACCGCTGTAACTATTTTGGGGCACCCTGAGCTGCATCCCTGTAAGACAGCATGCTTAACTGATACACATTGTTTGGACTCTGACTGCTTTGCCGACTGGCTGCTTCCCCAGCTGTCTTCTTCTCCTTGGGCCTCCCTACTTTCTGAGACTCAACAATATGAAAATTAGGCCAATTAATAATCCTACAATGGCCTGTAACTGTTCATGTAAAAGGAAGAGTCGCATGCATTTCTCACTTAAAACTGAACGCTAGAAATGATTAAACTTCGTGAGTAAGTCATGTCAAAAGATGAGGTGGGCCAGAAGCTAGGCCTCTTGGACAAAACAGAGAGCCAAATTGTGAATGCAAAGGCAAAGTTCTTGAAGGACATTAATCCTGTGGACACACCATGGTAAGAAAATGAAATTGCTGGTGTGGAGAGTTTAATGGTCTGGATAAAAGTCCCAACCAGCGTAACATTCCATTAAGCCAAATTCTAATTCAGGGGTACGCCCTGAACTCTCTTCAATTCTATAAGGGCTGAGAGAAGTGTGGAAGCTGTAGAGGCAAAGTCTGAAGCTAGCAGAGGTTGGTTCATGAGGTTTAAGGAAGGAAGATCTCTTCATAACATAATACTGTAGTGCAAGGTGAAGCAGGAAGTGTGACGGCAGCGAGTTATCCAGAAGATCTAGCTCAGATCACTGACGAAGGTAGCTACCCTAAACAACAGATTTTCAGTGTTGATGAAACAGCCTTCTACTGGAAATGTATGTTATCTAGGAGTTTCACGGTTAGAGAGAAAAAGGCAATGCCTGGCTTCAAAGCTTCAAAGGACAGGCTGAGTCTTGTTAGGATTAACGCATCTGGCGACTTTAAGTTGAAGCCGATGCGTACCTACCATTCTGAAAATTCTAGGGCCCTTAAAACATATGCTGAATCTACTCTGCCTGTGCTCTATAAATGGAACAACAAACCCTGAATGACAGCACGTCTATTTATCATACGGTTTACTCATTTTTTTTTTTAAGATGGAGTCCCACTCTGTCACCCAGGCTGGAGTGCAGTGGTGCAATCTCGACTCACTGCAACCTCTGCCTTCCAGGTTCAAGCGATTCTCCTGCCTCAGCCTCCTGAGTAGCTGGGATTACGGGCATGTGCTACCATGCCCAGCTGATTTTTGTATTTTTTTTAGTAGAGATGGGGTTTCATCATGTTGGTCAGGCTGGTCTCGAACTCCAGACCTCAGGTGAACCACCTATCTCAGCCTCCCAAAGTGCTGGGATTACAGGAGGGAGCCACTGCATCCAGCTGGTTTACTCAGTATTTTAAGCTCACTGTTGATACCTACTGCTCAGAGAACAAGATTTTTTTTCAAAATATTACTAATCCTTGACAATGTACCTGGTCACCTAAGAGCTCTGATGGAGATATACAAGGAAATAAATTTGTTTTCATGCCTGCTAATACAAGATCACTCTGAAGCTCAGGGATGAAGCAGTAATTTCCACTTTCATGTCTTCTTATTTAAGAAATACATTGCATACAGTTTTCACTGTCATAGTTATGATTCCTCTGATGTATCTGAGCAAAGTAAACTGAAAAACCTTATGGAAGGGACTCACCATTCTAGATGCCATTGAGAACATTCATGATTCATGAGAGGAGGTCAAAAATATCAACATTAACAGGAGTTTGGAAGAAGTTGATTAAAATTATCATGGATAACTTTAAGGAGTTCAAGACTTCAGTGGGAGAAATAACTGCAGATATGGTAGAAAGAGCAAGAGAACTAGAATTTGAAGTGGAGCCTAAAGATGTGACTGAATTGCTGCAATCTAATGATAAAACTTGAAGAAATGAGGACTTGATTTTTATGGATGAGCAAAAAATGTGTAAATTTTTTTGAGATGAAATCTCCTCCCGGTGAAGACACTATGAACATTGTTGAAATGACAACAAAGGATTTAGAATATTCAATAAACTTAATTGCTATAGAAGCAGCAGAGTTTGAGAGAATTGACTCTAATTTTGAAAGAAGTTCTACTGTGGGTAAATTTCTGTCAGTATTACATGCCACAGAGAAATTTTTCATGAAAGGAAGGGTCAACAGATGTGGCAAACTTCACTGTTGTCTTATTTTAAGAAATTGCTGGTAGGGCGCAGTGGCTTACAGCTGTAATCCCAGGACTTTGGGAGGCCTGAGGTGGGTGGATCACCTGAGGTCAGGAGTTTGAGACCAACCTGGCTAACATGGTGAAACCCTGGCTCTACTGAAAATACAAAATTAGCCAGGTGTGGTGTTGGGTGCCTATAATCCTAGCTCCTTGGGAGGCTGAGGCAAAGAATCACTGGAACCTGAGAGGCAGAGGTTGCAGTGGGCCAATATCCTGTCACTGCACTCCAGCCTGGGCAACAGAGTGAGACTCCACCTCAAGAAAAAAAAAAAAGAAATTGTCACAGACACTCCAACCTTCAGTACCCACCACCCTGATCTGTCAGTAGCAATCAACATAAAGGCAGGACCCTCCCCCAATCAACAACAAGATTACAACTCACTGAAGTCTCAGATGATCAGTAGCATTTTTATTGATAAATTATTTTAAGCTAAGGGATGTACATTGGTATTTTTAGACATAATGCAATTGTACTCTTAATAGACTACAATATAAACATGACTTTCATCATGTTTTTTGCAAAAGCAAAAAATTTGTGTGGCTCACTTTATTGCAATGTTTGCGTTGTTTGAGTAGTCTGGAGCTGAACTTGCAATATTTCCAAGGTATGTCCACAAACGGAACAGAGATACAGTGAGTCATTAATGGTCAAGAAACCAAGAAATCTGGTGATAGTAAACTAGCCTTAAGATTGAGGAACTTTCAAGAAGAATTTGGGTCCGTTATTGTCCTCGTTCACGCATGCAATGCTAACCTGCATGCCACTTATGCCAAGAACTATTTTAAGAGACAGAGATGCAGCAATGAACAAAACAGTCTCTCTGCTCTCATGCAGCTTGCATAGGGGAGAGTGGGAGCAAACAGTGAAGAAATTTGAAAGCGTGTATACAAGATGGGTCAGATGGTAAGAAGTGCTTTAAAGAGGAAGGAAGTAGAATATGAGAATAGAGAAGAGAAGGTGCCATTTTACGTGAAATGGTCAGAAAAGATTCTTCTTATGACGGGGTAATAATTAAGCAAAGGCCTGGATAAGAGAGGAAGTAAGCCATACTGATACCTGATGAAAAAGCATTCCAGGCAAAGGGGAGCACACGTGCAAAGGCCTCAAGGCAGAAGCACATCTGGTTGGTGTCTTTGAGGACTGCGAGAATACAGCAGAGACTGATTGGACTAGAGATCTGAGAAGGGTCAGGGGACAAGATGGTTTAAGACCTTGCTAGCCGCGGAAGGTTTTAAGCAGATGAAAAACATGATTTGCCTTATGCTTTAAAAGACTTACTCTGAATGCCCTCAGGTCAGGAGTTTGAGACCAGCCTGGTCAACATGGTGAAATCCTGACTCTACTAAAAATACAAAAATTAGCCAGGTTTGGTGGTACATGCCTGTACTGTCAGCTACTGAGGAGGCTGAGGTAGGAGAAACACTCGAACCCAGGAGGTAGAGGTTGCAGTGAGCCCAGGCTGCACCACTGCACTCCAGCCTGGTGACAGGGTGAGACTCTGTCTCAAAAAAAAAAAAGACACTCTGGTTGTTCAGTGAAGAGCAAAGAGCAGGGAGCACAAGAGAGTAAGTGGGAGAGGAGTCAGGAGGCTATTTCCATAATCCATGAAAACAATGACACAAAGTGAAGCTGGGTGCACACAGTGGGTGTGGCAAGGGGAGCTGGGGAGCTGAATACAGTTCAACAGTGTATGGTGATAGGAGGGGTAAGAGGCAAAGAGGGGTCAGGACAAGTTTTCTGGCCTAAGAGCTGGTATGCCGGAGGTGCTATTTACTGAGATGGAGAGGACTGAGCAGGGTAGGGCCCAGGGCTTGAAGGTGGAGGATCAAGAATTCCCTTATATGATAGTTGAATTGTCTATTAATCTTACAAGTACTTATAATTAGCAGATAATTAAATATGAGTCTAAATTTTAGAGGAGAGTAGGAGCTGGAAATACACATTCATGAACCGTGCACATATAAGTGGAATTTACTGCCATCCGGCTTCATGAGATCACATAGTCATGAACGCACCCAAGAAAAGGGCTGAGGACTTTTAACTATGTTAAAAGATAAATGTTCCTTTCACATGTTGAATTTATGTCAATGATGGCACAGTAGACAACTGCTGAACTCTACTCAGTTCATAGCAAAATATTAAAACAAAATTCCAGTTTCATCAAATCACTGAATGGCATTTAAAATTCAGAATACTTGCAGAGATGCCAAATATCTTAATAAAGACGAAAGCCTAAATTCAGATTGGTGGCCTAGACTCTGCCTTCCTTGATAGTCTATTTAAAAATAACAATAATGATAATAGTAAGAAGAAAATATGTATGAATCACTAGATATGTTGCAATACACTCAAAGATAGATTCATTTCTTTCCTACTATACCATTGTAAATGTCAATCTATAAAATAGTTTTATTAGAAAGGCACAGTCACTCTCAGGCCAAAGAAACTTATAAATACGGGGCAAGGGCCTGATGTAGGCTGAAAAATAATTGAGAGAACAAGTAGATACGAAGCTAACAAATAACACTGTCAACCAGAGTTAGGCAGATAAGCCAGAGGCAGCACAAGTGACAGGTCGAGACAGGTAGACAGACAAATGCCAGGAGTGAGAGGAGAGAAGTCCAAAGTGCAATGAAACACTCAAGCACCAGTCAATCCATGGAAACTTAGGCAGGAAGGGCGGCTCAAAGGAGGAGCAACAGGTAGAGAGAAAGGAGGAGATGTGTGAGCAGGAGGCAGGAGGGCGCTGTTTGATCAGTTTGGAGAGTGAGGTGCTTTTTTGAGCCTGACAAAATAACTGGAATGCAGAATCTGGAGGACCGTGTAGGCCATGTTAAACAGCAAGCACTTGATTCTGCACGTGCTGGAAACCAGGGCAGGGCTTCTAAGCAAGGCAGCGACACAATCATATCACACCTTAGGAAGGGCAGGAAGATCACGAGGGATCTCTCACAGTAAGAGATAAGAATCTAAACGACAAGGTGCCCATGAACATGCAAAGAACGAAGACTGAAGACACTTTAGAAGGCAGGCTCCACAGGACCTCAGTGAAGGGGTTTGGGAGACTCACAGCTTTCTATAGTGAAATCAAGGATATCAGAAACTATTGGAATAAAAGAAACAGTCCTAGGGCTGGGGGTAGGAGGATGAATGGGGTTCCATTTTGGACAGGAGAAGGAGAAAATTCAGGTAATTCATTTTGATTGGTCAAGCAAAAAAATTTGAAGCTAAACATTACAGAAGTGACAACAATGTTTTATGAGGTCGAGTTACAGAAACAGGCCCAAGAAAGCACAGTATGTCCTGTTTCTTTTCTGATTAAATAAATAATAAGGATATTTTCTGTTAAGTTTTTTGATAAACTGTTATTTAATCAGAAAGAGACAAGATAAATTTGAACTTGAAAGTATAAGAAAATCAGTATAAGAAAAGGTGAGTCTGTATTTCTTATGGTCTTAAATCATCCTTCAAATAATGGGCTATGAGAAAAATGAGATCCTACTTATTTATCTAGCCTTTTCCTTGATAGATTAAAAACTATATCAAAATCTTACTATATTACAAAGACACTAATACATTCAACTGAGAATCCATAGTATAAAAACATATAAATCAAGGGAATTAAAAAAACAATCATTGTGTTCAAAAGGGAAAGATTATTCCAAATTTTTTCTGCATGTTTTAGAATAGTTTCACAGTTTAAAACACTGTACTTTATAAAATCATTATCCAGCATCTAATAAAGTATATCTATAACAATGACAACACTGGAATTTAACAGTTTACAAAGCACGTTTGACACATCACATTTAAATGAA